TATTATTATTATATATTTGACAGTAAACTAATATATAATCATTATACTAGGCATACTAAAATCATATTATAAGGTAAAATTAACCATAAGCATATATAATAAAATATCATTTTAATTTTGTAGATTATTTAGTATACCGCAAGCCACCTATTATTTAGTTCATGAAATGTTAACAAGGTGACATCCTTAGCAGCCACATAAATACTAATTTTCTAATAACCAGACAATTGCTTATTCTAAATAGTGGTACAAACTTATCTCGTTAAAAGCTTGGACTTGTTGCTGTAGCAGAAAGATGTGTCTGTAATATTACATATCTTTTTGAATAAAATCTGGATAATTTTGACAATAGATCATCGAAATATATCTTACCATAAGTGGAATTCAACCTTGAGGTTAGAGACTTCGTGCTGATAACGTGTTATAAAATATAGCTCAAAGTAACAATATAGAACAAGGAAAAACAAGCTAAGAGATATAGAGAGAAAGAGAGGGGAGATTTCTTATTTCTTCTTCAATTGTGTGTATTTTCCTATCTATTACAAGGCCTTTATATAGGCATGAAAAGTGAAGAAAAATATGTCATTGAATATGTCATTAAGCATAGAAATATGTCATTGAATATGTCATTAAGCATTTGAGAAGATCATGGAGGAAGAGTAGACATCCACCATAATTTGATTTNAAATATGTCATTGAATATGTCATTAAGCATTTGAGAAGATCATGGAAGAAGAGTAGACATCCATCATAATTTGATTTTTCTTATAACATGAATGAGATTACGTTGTTACTACAACTTTTGAATTATGACTAATATTTTTGCACAATTTGATGCTTTTTGTGTTTGGTGGACAATTCTCTCTAATTGGTGCTATCTATACCACATTTAATTTTATTATCTATACAAGTGTAAGGTGTGAGCCTAACTAGCAAAAATAAAAATAAAAATAAAAATAAAAATTAAAAAAAAAAAAAAAAAGCTGCCGCCCCCGTCACAACCATGCTCATACCCAAATCGTTTCTACTGGATCATGTGAACAGATAAGAGGACTTTTAGAGTTGTACTGAAGGTACTATTTATTTGTTTTCCTAGCTTTTACAGTTTATTCCTCTTTACATTCTTGATGTCCTAAAATTTTTCTTGCCGTAAATGGGGGAAATTAGCTCTCCAGTGAGGCAAAATCTGTGCATGTGGATCTGAGGTTGCGTTACACTATTATTGCATATTTTATTTTCTTGAAATTTATTCGGAATTCTACTAAAATTCATTCGAGGATTTTGAAATTTATTACTTATACTTATTTAACTAGTTTTTTTATTAACTTCCTATCAAATCTTTTATTTTTTCACAATTTTCGTCCGTCAGAGTTGGTTAAATATATGTGAGAAATAGGATCAAGTTGCTCATTATTATACTTAAGGGACTAAATTAAATCTATCCCAAACATAACCAACCGTTTTTGTCATTTTGTCCAATAAATTACATATCCGACGATCAAAGTTACTGTTTTTCACTCATACATTCAACTCTGCTTCTCAAAGCTCGCCGCCGGCGATTTCCGCCTGAAACCGGTTTGCTTCTTCTCTTAATCTTTTCTATTTACTTTTAGGCTTTTCCATTTTCTTTCATTTCTTATTTTCTCCTTCATTCTTTTTTTGTGAATTAACCAAACACTTACTCTAATTGCTTTCCCCCAAGTGCGTGGTTTTACCTAGGGTTTGAACGAAAATCATTTTTAGTTTTTGATTTTTCGAAATTTGCTTAGTTCTGTCACTGTTTTTCTGACTTCTCTTTGTTAAAGAATTAAGCTGGTGAAATCTGCTGTTAATTATGGTTGAAATGTTTGTTTAGATTACAAGAATTTCATTTTCTTTCTCTTATATTTTGTATTGAAAATGTGTGTTTCAATTGCATATTCTGGCACGCATCATTTAACTTCAAGCAAATTCAAAACAATATACCAGATCTGGTTTGTGAATTTGCAGTGGATGAATAAGTGATTCGCTTCTTCATAATCTCCTCCACATTATATGTAATTATGCAAATAGTCATACCTCTTTCTTTGTAGACTGTATTTTTCGCCACGCCTAACCGTCCCCATTGAAGGATGTTTTTCCCCAAGAACTCTCAAACATCCAGCCTTTTCCAATTGGGTTCTTAAAAAGCTTATTTTTTTCCATTTGGGTTCTTGAAAAGTTATAGGAGAAAAGCTTATTGACTAAAGATCAGGTACTGAAGGTGGATGCTTAACAGTGATTTTCCTTGTGTTTGTTCCATCATATAAAGCTACATATATTTCAAATTTTAGTATCTAATTTGGTTTTTGGCTTTTCATGGTCAGAAAATCAGGACAGTTGCTTTAGCTTTTTGCCCTTAGTTATCTGGGTTTTTCATTAGCCCTTCGTTCATTTACCCGTTTTTTCCATGTTCTATATTCTCTTGCATTTTGATGGATATAATATTGTTAACTTAAACAAACTTTTCTTCTAATTTCCTGGCTTTTGTGCTCTTCATTTGCTTGCATTTAAATGGATATACTGAAATGACTGCACTTTTACTAGTTTTTTTCTTTCATATATGTGTCCCTTATGTTTATCAATTTTTTCTTTAGCTTTTTTGCGCTGAATTTTGGGATACAAACTGCCCTTTTGTGGTGGACTTTTGCTTGTGAATTAGTCAGATCTATTTTGTACTAGTTATTTGTTTGGTTTCTTAAAGCATTGGAACTTAATTATCTGCAAAATGCAGTTTCTTTGCTTTTCTTAGGTGTTATTATAGAGACATTCTATGCCTCATTGATCCAGCAAAACTGGGGGTCGTTTTTGGTTTTATTCTCAAAAATTATAAGGTCCGGAAGATCTTTCACTTTTCTAGTGTCACCAAGTACAGCTGTTTTCTAACTTGCTTTTACATGGGGGAGGGGAGGGGAAAAGAAAGATTTTTGTTACATTTTTTGCCAATGGTACCGAAAAGCACTATGTTCAATGGCTAATGGAATGATCTTTTTGATCCTTTAGGACACTGTTTTAAGTATTGTATATTTGGATTGATTCTGAGAAGGAAAACAAATCTACCTCATTTGTTATTTTATGAAAGATGAAAAAGAAAAATGAAAAATTAGCGGAGAGAATTTACTGCCACATAGTAGTTTGTTTCCCTTATATATTATATAATGAGCCAAAACATATCATTGGACATCACTACTGTGACAGATTAATTACTTGTCTTATTTTTAGTGTGTGTCACGATCCAAAACTCCCAACCACGGGCCGTGATGGCGCCTAACATCCGCTTGCTAGGCAAGCCAACATTAGCTAAACAGTTATTCAGTTTAACAATTTTATAAGCAGATTATTAAGAAATAAGACTGAAATGCTTTGAATACATAATAATCCATATACGTTGTCTAGTCTAACCCCAGAAACTGGTGTCACAACTCACAAGTGCATGAGCTGCTAAAAGTACTACAAACAGAGTCTGAAATAAAAATACATTTGTCCGAAATAAAACAAACAATAAAACTGATAGAAATAAACAGTAATCGATCATCAAAACTCAAGATTTCAACTTTGAAACTCATTTTTCAATTTTTCACATAATGCGTCGGAACGCCCTCGGGTCACCTGGGACCCCAACCAAACATGCGTAAAAGTCCAAAACATCATACGAACCTACTAGAATTGTCAAAATATCGATCGAAGTCATTTACCAAAAGCGTTGACCGTGGTCAACTCTAGTCTCATTTTAAGTCAAAAATCGCATTTTCTTCAAAATTTCACATATATACTTTCCGGAAAAGGACACGGACCACACACGCAAGTTATGAATCATCAAATAAAGCTATAGGAGGTCTCAGAACATAGAAAAAGAAGCTAGTACTCAAAACGACCTACCCGACCGTCACATTGTACATGTCAACTTCTATTAATGAATGTCAAACTTTTCCTAGGAAACTAGGAGCAAACACAATGGGACTTCTCAGCCTTATTCGAAAGATCAAGCGAAAAGAAAAGGAAATGCGCATCCTTATGGTGTAAGTCTACGAGCTAACACTTCTTAACCTGTGGCATTTGGAATTATGTATGCATCGGTTATTTGTTTACTATTTGCTTAATTCTGTTTTTCCTATAGGGGTCTTGACAACTCTGGTAAAACAACGATAGTTTTGAAAATAAATGGGGAAGACACAAGTGTCATCAGTCCGACTCTTGGCTTCAACATCAAAACTATCACGTATCAGAAGTATGATTTCTCTGTTTCCTTTTCTCTGTTTTCGTTTCTCAGACTTCCTTGCCTCTGTCCTGCTTCAATAAAATTTAAATAATATGTTGGTAATTACTTATTGTTGTTACTCAGTTACCGTAACCTACATGTCCAAGATGTACTTTGTCAAGCAATGTTTGTGGTTAGCTGGATATTTTGATTATTTTATTCCATTAAATTAGGATGGGGTCATTTAAATGGACAAGTCTGAAATTTTTTTATTGGAATGAAAGATTGGTAAAAAATTTCTTGTTGGTCAATAAAATTTCTACAGTTACTTATTATAAAAAAACCTCGTTGGTCACATAAACTAATCACTGAATTGGGAGTAGCCCACAAAAGCCCACTCCTTTTATGGCAGGTTATGGGGGAGAACAAGGGGAGTCATCTAATTCCAAATTGGGATTGTTATTAGGGCATGTTGAGCACGTGGAGGATTTAGTTTTAAATGGACCGTCTCTTGGGGGTAAAGAATTGGAATTGGGCCGGGCCAAAAGGCAGGAAAGTGGGCCAGACCAAATTTTGTGCCCTTTTCCTCCTCTAGAGCCCAGACCACTGAATATAGTGGATTCTTTCCTCTTTGAGATCGAAGCTAACCAAGCTTCGCAGTCATGCGGTTCTTTATCAATGGTGGATTCCGACGAGGTTGCAAAAGAAGAGGTTCATGTTAGTTATCAGAGTCAAAATCTTCTACGAATCTCTGAAGGAAAAGAAAAAGCTTACTATGATGCAGGACCGGATATCGAGGGAGCGGGAATAGAAAACCAAGAAAATTCTGGGTTACAATTAATTCTAGTGGAACCAGTGTTTTTGAGAGCGAGAAGCGCAAAAAAGCGACAGGGGCTCGCCTCGCTTCAAAAACNGTGGAACAATCTCAACACTGGCCAATTGAAGATGTCCAACCGCTAGATATCCAGATTCAGATGGCTGAGTTAGAAGCTTCATTATGGGTTCACCGAAATGCCATGAAGCTAAGCAAGCAGTTCGGGGTGGACTTTCAGGGATGTGAATGGGAGGCGTGGTCTCTATTCATGAAATTGGACAAGAAGAGGCACGAGAAACGAAAGGAAACTAGTGGCTCTAACCCATATACCCCAAAACAAAAGGGGGTGAATGAAGTCAAGAATCTACAATTTGGCATCAAATTCAAAGAAAGTGGATCAAGGAGCAGGGGAACAAACAACTCTACCAGTTCTTGATGAATGTACAAATTATCTCATGGAACGTGAGGGGTTTGAATGATTTTGAAAAGAGAAGGATGATTAAATCTTTAATGCAAGAATGGAGAGCAGATATCTATTGTTTTCAAGAAACAAAGATGGAAGGGGAGTATGGTGCGGTGGTTAGGTCTTTGTGTAGCAACAGATGGGTAGACTACGTAGGTTTGGAGTCAAATGGGAGGAGTGGAGGTATTCTAATTATGTGGGACAAAAGGGTGTGGGCCGGGGAATTAGTTAATACTGGGTTACATTCCATCTCCTGTAAATTTTCTTCTCTGAATAGGAATTTCTCTTGGTTCCTTACTGGGGTCTATGCCCCAAACTGTAGAAGGGAGAGAGAGGAGCTTTGGTGGGAACTGGGTGCGATTAAAGGAGTTTGTGAAGGTGCTTGAGTGGTTTGTGGCGATTTTAACACTACTAGATGCGCTACTGAAAGAAAGAATAGCAGGGGTATTACCAGAGCTATGAAGGATTTTTCAGAAATTATAGAAGACCTAGAGCTTGTTGACCCTCCTTTATTGGGAGGTAGGTACACTTGGGATAGGGGAAACAATCATGATTGTTCTTCAAGAATTGATAGATTCTTGTTTTCAGCTGAGTGGGATGAGAGTTTAACAATATCAAACAGTCTCTTCTTCCTAGAATTGTCTCTGATCATTGCCCTATTTCTTTGAAATGTGGGGAATGGGATTTCTCAAAATCTTATTTCAAATTTGAGAACTGGTGGATGGAAGTGGAAGGGTTCAAGGAGAGGGTGGCAGGATGGTGGAATTCCTTTGAGATCACTGGAAGGCCAGATTATATTCTGGCCTGTAAACTCAAAAAGTTGAACGTTAAGTTAAAGGAGTGGACTGTGCTTAATGGGGGGAGCTTGAAGAGGAAGAAGACTGAGCTTTTGAACAAAATTCAAAACTTGGATCTTTTGCAGGAACAAAAACCATTAAATGAGGCTGAATTACTTGAGAAGGCAAGCTTGCACATGGAATTCTAGGAGAATGCAAAGAATGAAGAGATATCTTGGAGACAAAGATCTAGAGCTATATGGGTGAAACAATGTGACAAAAACACCAAGTTCTTCCCGAAAATTGCCAACTATCATAGAAGATCCAATCATATAGATAAGCTGGAGGTTCAAGGGGAAGAAATTACTGAGCCACATGGAATTAAAACTGAGATAGTGTCTTTTTATCAGAAACTATATGCAGAAACAGAAATCTGGAGACCAGATTTTATTCCAAGGTGAATGCAGCATTACAGAGGAAGATAATGAATTGCTACAAGGAGAATTTGAAGAACAAGAAGTGTTTGAGACCTTGAAGCTATGTGCAACTGACAAGGCACCGTGCCCTGATGGTTTCTCTATGGGGTTTTTCCATAATTGCTGGAAGATTGTGAAAGAAGACATCATGCATCCCATCAGAAACTTCCACAACAATGAATATTTTGAGAAGAGTTTCAATGCTACTTACATAGCACTTATTCCAAAAAAGAATGGTGCTAAGGAACTCAAGGACTTCAGACTAATTAGTCTTATAAGAAGCATTTACAAGATCATTTCCAAACTGTTGACAGAGAGGCTCAAGGAAGTGGTGAACAAACTAGTAAATGGGCATCAAATGACCTTCATAAGAGGCAGGCAAATCATGGATGCTTCCTTGATTGCAAATGAATGTGTGGATTCCAGACTTAAAGGGCAGGTTCCCGGAATTCTCTGTAAGCTTGATATTGAGAAGGCCTATGATCATGTTAATTGGAACTTTTTACTCAAAGTTCTTCAGGATATGGGTTTTGGTAGGAAGTGGATCAACTGGATATCTTTCTGCATCAGAACAGTCAGATTTTCCATTTTGGTGAATGGTTCTCCAGAGGGATTTTTTCCTTCCGAGAGAGGTTTGAGACAAGGGGATCCCTTTATCACCTTTTCTTTTCCTCTTTGCTATGGAAGGATTGAACCAAATGTTAAGAAATGCAAACAACAATGGTTGGCTGAAAGGTTTTAAAGCTTCAAACATGGAGGGAGATAGAGTGGAGATCACCCATCTTCTATATGCCGATGACTCTTTAGTTTTTTGTGAGGCAAAGGCAGATCAACTAAAATATCTAAGAGTCATTCTTGTTATATTTGAAGCAGTCTCAGGGCTCCATGTAAATTGGAGGAAGAGCATGTTGTTCCCAGTTAAAGAAGTGGATGATATCCAGGCCCTAGCAGCTATACTGGGATGTGAGGTGGGTTCTCTACCAACTATATATTTGGGTTTATCTCTAGGCTCCAAGAACAAAGCTCAAGAAATATGGAATTGGGTTCTTGAAAGATGTGAAAAAAGGCTGTCAACCTGGAAGAGCCAGTATTTATCCTTGGGTGGAAAGGTGGTATTGGTTAATAGTGTCTTGGATGCATTTCCTACATATGTAATGTCTTTGTTTCCCTTACCAAGCAAGGTGATGAAAAGAATTGATGCACTAAGAAGGAGCTTTATATGGCACGGAAATAGAGAGAAGGAAGCTATTCATTTGGTTAACTGGAATTCCCTTATCACAAGCAAAGACAAAGGGGGTTTGGGCATTAGGAACCTTAAAGCCCACAATTAGAGTTTACTCTTGAAGTGGCTTTGGAGGTACAATCTAGAGGCTAATGCTTTGTGGAGAAAGGTAATCTGTGACAAGTATGGACAAAATGGACTATGGTGCTCTAACTCTGTTAATAGTTCACATGGGGTTGGGGTATGGAAGTCAATCAGACTTCACTGGAATACTCTGGCTGATAATACAACCATAAAGGTTGGAAATGGAAGGAAAACACTTTTCTGGTTAGGACATGGTCCTCTCAAAGAACTTTTTCCTGATTTTTTCAGCATTGCAACATCACCTACATCCACTTTAGACACTGCCTGGGGTCAGCAAGGATGGAATGTTACTTTTAGAAGGGCCTTGAATGATTGGGAATTAGAAAGGGTTGTAAATTTCTTTAATATCTTGGAACAATTCCAAGGTCTTGGAGAAACTGAAGATAAACTATGTTGGAATCTTTGCAGGAGTGGGAATTTTACGGTCAGATCCGCGTATACTCTACTCGCTGCTTCAAACCAACAGTTAGAACAATGGCCCTGGAGGAATATTTGGAAAGTAAAGGCACCTTTTAAGGTGGTTTTCATGGTTAGTTACAAGAAAGGCTTGTCTAACCCAAGAGAACTTGAGAAGAAGAGATTTTCAGCTATGCTCTAAATGCCTATTATGTGGTACAGCTATAGAAACTAATAGCCATTTGTTTCTTCATTGTCCTTTTACTGACCAACTGTGGCAACTGTTTCTTAATATTGTGGGCCTTAAATGGAGCATGCCAACTAACACTTGTGATCTGTTGAAGTGTTGGAATTACAATGGGGGTATAGTGAGACAGAAGAAATGGTGGCGATTGGTTCCTGCGTGCATATGGTGGACAGTCTGGAAGGAGAGAAATTTAAGAACTTTTGAAGACAGAAGCAATTCTTTAAAGAACATCAAGATGAAATGTTTACTTTTGTTTTATTTCTGGTGTAAAGAAAACTGGGTAGAGGAGGCAGAATCTTTAGTAGACCTGATAGGTGCACTGTAATCTTAGGTTGTCATAGCTGGTTTCTGTTTCCTTGTAAATATGGCTTGGCACTGCTCTAGTGCTGTTTTATTTATTAATATATATGCTACCATTATCAAAAAATAAACTAATCACTGAATTGGAATAAAAATCAGGTGAATATCGAGAAGGCGTACCATTGAATCATCAAGTTCGTTCAAAAAACATCATCACATACTCTTAGTTAATTTTTACCTTTGAGTTACCTTCTACGGCCTTGGTTTGTGGTATTGATCAATTAACTACGCTTTAATCCCAAATCAGTTGGGCTCGGTTGTATGAATCCTGTTATGTCAGTAGACTATGTCTATATTGTCCATCGACCTACTAAAACCGTCCTCTTTTATTATGCTTGGTTTGGCTATGTTTTGCGAAATAGGTGGAGTTCTTGGTTTTATGCTACCAGACATTAAAACTTCTGGGGCTTACTCAGTGAAGTCCAGAGTCCAGGCAACTAGGTTAGATGAACTTCGCTGAAGCAAACAGAGTATGACAACTTGTAATTTATGTCTTTGAAGTTACCATCTGTAGTGCTTAGATCATTTTAGTGGTTTAAGTGCCTACTGATTGATTTTTGTCGGAATTGAGACTTCTAAAATTTCAAAATAGTTGATAGGTTAACTTAACATTCTGCAGGTATACCCTCAATATTTGGGATGTCGGGGGTCAGAAAACGATACGTTCTTATTGGAGAAACTACTTTGAGCAAACTGATGGCTTGGTGTGGGTTGTGGATAGTTCTGATCTGAGAAGGCTAGATGACTGCAGATACGAGCTACATAATCTTCTGAAAGAAGAGGTACATATCATACTAGTTCTCTTTTCTGTTGTTGAACCTTCATCTACTCCCTGAAGTGAAAACTCCAAAAGTATTTGGATTTTCAGGGTGGTTCACTGATCCAATATTCCCTAGTCTCTTCTCTGAACCAATGTCCTCATTTGTTTTTATTAAGATTTAGCCATATGAATATGAATGCATATATGAATATTAAAATGTGGTATGTAGATCTGGACATTGAATAGTTAAGACTGTTTGTTTTTCAACATATGAATATGTATAATTTATCTATATTTAAACATAACAAATAGACAATTCAAATAAAAATTGCTTAAATATTATTTCAATAAAATACTGGAGAAAATACCAACTTGAATAAAAATGACCATTATTTGAGATAAATTGAAGTATTTAAAGATATAAATGAGTATTTTATGTTGATCCAATCATTAAACTATCTGAACTATAAATAAAATTATATCAGTAACAACAATTTCTGTAACAAAGAATATGCGGATTCAAATCAAATGTTGTAGGTGCTATCATTTCAGTTTCAAACTTCATCATTGCATCAAGAACCTCATGAAAGTACTTGTGAACCGTTTACCGAAGAATGTTGAGATCTTCTCTTAATAACCACAAAACACTCATTCTGTCCTATAATGTTGACATAGCCGAACGTATGCATATGCGACATGCACTTCAATTCTATAGATTGTCAATTAGAGCCCAACTGTAGTTCTAACGTATACTTTTGACCAGATAAGGATGATGTTATATCTTGATTTCTTTGATCATGCTCTAGTCTAAAATTACTTCTAAGGCAATACAAGCACATCAACAATAATATTTGATCGTCGATATCCATGTCGAATCTATTTTAACAAGGAGAAAAATCAATAAACAATAGTAAGCACAACATGGTATATATTGTAAAAACATAAAAAATTAAAGAAGCACAATAAAGTGATTATAAAAAATTATTCTATACTCATGAAGCATAACAAGGACGGTAAAAGTATATTTGACAAACAAAATATGTTCAATAAGCATAATATAGTATCACAAAGTTCCATAGTAGATACTAGTTGGAAAATAAATAAGGAAAATGCTAAATAAAATCAACATCTAATATATATTCCAACTAATTAGCAAGATCAAAGCATTCCCATTTTTTCCCATGGCTGTGACCCGACTTTCTAATTTGTCGACCTCCATTTTCATCCATGCTTGTCTATAGCTATCACCTTCACAAAGTATGCTAACAGTTGCACTATATAATGGTTCTTTCCATCCAAGTCCCTCTAATTTTTCCATACATTCCTCAACGTTAGGCGTCCTATTTTTTTTAAGTAATAGCTCCAAAGCAGTACTCATTTTATCATCAATTTCGATTCGAGATGATGTGCTCTTTCATTTCTTTCCCGCATTTTTCCTTTCTATTGGAACTGAAGATTGAGATGGAGAACTAATAGAAATTCCATCATTTTTGTCATGTAGTAGATCTTCAACATCATCAAGTATATCTATATTAGTAGATAAAGATGAGACACTAGGTCGGGGAGTTGTACAGCTGGGACTCCAACCAAACCCTCAAAAAGTGCTGTACGAAGATCCAGGAAGGTAGAGGTGAAGTCTTCAGTGTCTTGGCTTTTGGATGAGCCTATATCCAAATATATAAGGTCATACTTTTAGTATGCACCTCAAACCATTTACAGAAAAAGAAGCATTTACTAGATAATGAACTAACCTTTATGTAATCATCCTACTCACTTTTAGACATTAGAATGGTATTGGTTACAGAAAAAGTGCTCTCGTGGTAAGCAACCTCCACTTCCAACCAAGAGGTTGTGAGTTCGAGTCACCCCAAGAGCAAGGTGGGGAGTTCTTGGAGGGAAGGATGCCGAGGGTCTATTGGAAACAGCCTCTCTACCTCATGGTAGGGGTAAGGTCTGCGTACACACTACCCTCCCCAGACCCCACTAGTGGGATTATACTGGGTTGTTGTTGTTGTTTTTAGTTATTGGCAACCAAGATTGATACTTTTCTCTTGAATAATCATAATGATTCTTCATTTGCTTTTGGTTAACTTTAAAACCATGAGAAGTCTCCAGAGCTAGCTTAACCTTGTTCCATGAATCCGGCTTCAAACTACTTCCAAGTCTCCAGTTTAAGGATACTTCTTGAATACAAGTTTCTAATAAAGTTTTTACTATATCCATATATCTCCAACTCTTAGATTTTCACTAGATTCCATATCTGAAATATATAATTTTAATGATTATTGCAGATAGACTAACACAAACAAAAGTAACAAAACAGAACTAATTAGGGAAAATCAAACTAAAAATGAGCTTTATATTTAGAATATAGAAGCAGACAAAAATTTACTAGTAGTCTCTCACATTCTTGCACTTCTTTGCTAGACTCACTATACCACGAGAGCTTAAGAAAATAGAGAGCGAAGGATGTATGGTTTTTGTTGTTGAGAGTGAACACAAGATTAAAAAAAAAAATAGCAGTCTTTGCTGAAAGCCAATATGAAACAGAGGATTAAAGAGTATGAAGAAGAGGGAATGATGTAAACTTCGAGTTAACTGAAATTTTCATATATAGATAGTATCTCTCTGCAAACTCTATATCAATCAGGAACCCCCAATGCTTACGAAGGAAATCAGACCCGACAACAAGAGAACTGTTGTAATATTAGATTATAAAATTCATATACATATGAATGATCACACACATGGAATACCTATATTTCCAACTATTGAAATATTGTTCATCAAAGAGAGCCTAACATGCATATAGGATTCAGCTTCTTTTTCTTTTCTATTAGAATTTATTTCCAACTGGGTAACATAGATAAGGTTTCAAACAAATCATTGAAGGCTTTAAGATTTCCAGCATATCTACTTCACAACAGATATTTATGAATTTCTTTTGCACTTCAATGAATCAATTAAGATTTGGGTAACAAAATTTCTCAGAGTTCTTTATAAAAGCAGGCAGTCACCAAGAATATAGTGAATTTGACAAATTAACAGACAAAGTACCTGTAAAAGGTTTGAAATCTTACCAATTCAATTCTTCAAGAGGAAAGGATTTGGGTAGCCGATTGATAGTTGGAGAGAGAGTGGAGAAGAGGTGTGAATTTTCTGTCGATATGAAGAAAAACGAAGCGTGAAGTTTTCGGAAATAAAAGAAGTGTTTTTTTAAAGGGTCTGAACACTTTTAAGATTAGGTTATAGGTCTGACCGATTCAGACCAATTCACACCTATTCAGATGTTTTAAAAGTGAAAAACCAATGCACTTAATGGGCTGAGATCTGGACCATTCAGATTCAGACCCCCATTAAGTGCAAACAAATGAGAGTTAGTCTATTAAGCTTTGACAATGATCTATCCATATGAGTGTATCCAGGGGTGGGAGTCCTTCCTAAATTTTGCCAAATAAAGGGTATAACTTATTACAATTTTTCTTGCTGCTATAACCCAATAGTTACATATTCTTTTTCTTAAGATCTACATATTTATGTTTTTGGTTCATACAATGTTTATCTGGGGAAGCACCACCATTGAATATGCGCTTCTTCATTGGTTCTTTTACCTAATGAGATTTTTCTGATTACGGAAGTTTTGTTACATCATGAGGTATGTTATAAGTGCTGCATTTTGTTAGGGGGGCAGAAGCTCTTGCTTCTTCATATGGAGTTGTTGATACAGCTTGTTCATAATTCATCAAAAAATACTGCTTGTTCCTTTTTAGCATGGGTTTAGAAGGCCTATTTCTAATGCATCACTGGCTTGAACACTTGACACCTCTGCAGTGGGTACACTACCCCATGCATGCTTATGTTTCGTGCTGCTAACCTATTTCATACTGTCAAGAAACGGGGAGTGAGTTTCTGTTATGGTACATAATACATGCTTATTTTTTATGCTGCATACATATGCTATTTCTTAGTGGTCTATATGCAAAATTAACGAGTCAAATAGACATGAGGATGGGTTTTCAGTTAATTCAAGTGTCAATGGTCATCCAAGCTCAGACTTTGCTGTGGATATGTTGCTAGCCACTGCTTATTATAACACTTAATTGAATATTTTGTTATTCTCGAATTAATTAGCATTAGCAATCATTTCTCATATCATTTTCTGGTGACATCCCTTTTTGCTGCTTAGTTCTCACCAGTTTATGCAGGCATTCCTCCTCTGGGGAGGTTAGAAGTAACAGATGGTATCTCTTGGTTTGATGAAAATGGCAACCCTCCTTGACATGTTACTGCTTCCTTCTGCCCTCAGCCAAAACAAGCATACTAGTAATAGCTAAGATGTTGTCTGGAGACTTATTTGTTTGGCTATGAAAATGACTAAATTGTTCGCAAAAACGTATTGTAGCTATTTGATAGCAGAGCTGCCTATGCAAAATTATTAGTGCTAATCATTTAGTCGCATTTTCCATACTGGTGGCACAATTTGCATTTTTCCAAGTGAAACCCTCAGATCATCGTGTTATTAACGGCAGGATAAGATAATCCTTGGTGTTGGCTTTTTTTGGATTTGCTTGACGTATGCATTAAAGCTGTCATTTTAGTTAGTTTACCACATTGTTTTGTTTTTCATATTTCTTTAGAAGTTATTCATCTCTTGAAGCACTTCACTACGTGAAACCAGGAGTACCTATAACTTGATTATTGCAGAAAATACTCTTTCATTATTGTTCATAAAAGTAACAGTTCATTTCTGGTGATGGTGAGGCTTGGTATCACTACTAACAAAATAGAGCGACAAAGAAGAAACTTGCAATCTTGAGCTTTACCATCAGATATTATTTTACTCACTATTATTTGTTCAGTATCCTTCACTATTCTTTTCTTCTTGGCAGAGGCTATCAGGAGCATCGTTATTGATATTTGCAAATAAGCAGGACATACAAGGCGGTCTTTCTCCGGATGAAATAGCAAAAGTAAGGATGCTTCTTATTATAACTTAAAAACTGTGTCGAGTGAACAATGAAGTAGAACTCTTATTCTTGAAACTAGTAAGGAATAGGGTGCTATCAATGATATCCTTAACAATTAAGTGAGATTCTTTTTTGTTCACTTGAACTATATTTTACTAATAATGAAGTAAAGTTATGAACTGATTAATAGCTTTCTGCATTATATTCAGCCAACCCTTCTGTTGCACAACAGAAGAACGGTAGTCTTAGGTTATAGCCTTGACTATTCATGACACAACTCAACAAATGCAAAAGCACTTACCACATGCTTATGATGTTTAAGCCCGACTCAGTAACTATTTACAACTTTTCCTTAGACTTTGTTGAAAGTGGATGGATTTAGCCCAGGAATGCTCTTTGGGTCCATGATCAGTGAAGATCTTATGTTATAATCCAATGCGGCAAGGCAAAATGTAACTAAAACTCTCCGGATTTATGAAGCAAGTATTTCGTTTTATCAAATAAATAAAACTTTTCTCTGTAGCTTTGGAATAAGGATGGTCTAAGTGCTTGCAACTCGTGCTTTCACATTACTGTCTTAGTTATTGTCCTCTCCCTTAAAAGTTTGTGGTGTCTCATGAATCATGAAGTCTTACTTTGCTACATACAAAGAATAAATTGACCATGCATCTTGAACGTGAGCTTTTCTTTTTATTGTTATTCTTTTTTTCTAAAAACTTTATTCATTATGATTTTTTGAACCATGTGCATTTAAACTAAATGTACACTTTTCATTAAATGCTAGTTTCCTCTTTTGATATCTTTTGAGAGCAGCTTCCTCATTATTTCTAAAGATCCAAATAAGAAAACTGAGGTACTGAGAGACCAGGAAAGTAGCTTTTTTCTGGTCGTGGTTAAGAAAGTATGAGTAGGTAGTGTTCAAATAACTTCAGCTGGCTATTAACTTTCTTTCACATAGATCCTTGACCTATCTATTTTTCTTTTGTGTATGGCCATTTATTCCTAAAGTTCTGTTTACATTCAAACAGAGGGAAAATAACTTCTTCTGATTCAGGTGCTTAACCTGGAGGCCATGGATAATAGCCGGCACTGGAGAATCGTGGGATGTAGTGCATACACCGGAGACGGGCTACTTGACGGATTTGATTGGCTGGTACAAGACATTGCATCACGGATCTATATGCTTGATTGAGTAAAGTTTACATTAAGATTTTGATTCATTCAAGATAACCTTTCTAAACACCTTTTTATGTACCATTTGGAATACATTTGTGGATATAAAGATCAAATTTCTGTACGAGGGCATTTTACTCGTGTTATTGCTCATTGGTGCATTGCTCAAATGACACCATTAGTGAGGAAAATTCTTATAAGACCTTCCCAATATGGCCAGAGTATGTTATCCACTGTCCATCCTGCCCGTGTCATATTGGAGCAGGTTGCACGAGCTTCTTTTCTCTGGAGGGAGTCGGAAGGGAGCTTTTTAACACCTCTTAGTTGGCTTTTCTGGCGCGAATCGGGACCTGTTGGGCTAGTGGGCTTCAGATATCGGGAGCTCTGCACAACTAGGATACTTCCACGCCTAGAGCTCTAGGCTTTGTGCGTGATCTTGATTTTAGGAAATTACATGCTGAGATCTGCAAAAAAATCCAAGGTCTGAGAAATGTACCCAATATGTCTATGAATTGGGTTGTCAAAACTCTCGAATTGCTTCGCTAGTCAGCATTAATGAGACAATTTGTTGGCTAATTTCGTCAACCTATTAGCAGTCCAGTAGGCAAAGAAATATAAACTTCTGATGGATATTTTATATAATATCGCCACCCTTAACAAAAATAAGCACACCAACTTCTTTTCTATTTGAAGCTTGAGAAACAAATAGGACTAAGAAAAACACTTCCACCCTCGTACTTGATCATGCTCAACTATGCCTTATAAAAAGGATTAAGCGATCGCTGCAAGTATAATCAGGTCTAAAAGTCCGCAGTCAAATACTACAGAGAACTAAGGTTTAGCTATAACTGATCACTATCACAAAGAATACAAATTCGAACAATTTTTTGACTTAAAAAGATAAAGATTTTTATTTCTAACTAATGAACTAACAAATATTGAAGTAGTAAAATTATCAGCTAACGATACTAAGGGTTGTAGACAAGATTGGAAAAGCCTAGAGTTATGTTTCTCCTAATTGTCGGAATCCATCCCGCTACATCTCCTATAATTTCGCCTAAGTATTCTCTACTGATCGTGAGAACTTGACTTATCGTAATTCTCTCTCGAGCAACTACAATAATGTTCTAGTCATATTCTCTTGAATTACGCTAGCTCGCACTCTCACCACTCGCTACGACCACATCAAAGTTTCGTTATCTCTAATCTCGCTTTTAAACCTACCGTATTGATCTCTCATGTACCTTAGGAGTGACGTTGTTCAACGACAACCTAAATGTACACTCTTTCTCAAGTAATACATAATAAATAGGCACAACTAATTGAGAGCTCTTTAATAAACCAAAATGAGTATGTAGTTGAACACATAGAGAAATTCAAAGGCAAAATTATATTAGAACGTAACAAGAATTCATCCTTCAAAAGGTTCAATCAAACTCTAGATAGAAATTAAGTACTCATAGTCATGCTAACAATCACACTAATAATTGAAAGTTAAATCTACAAACTAAGGATGAACGGAAGAAAAACTCTTGTGATTTGGTGCTTGCAATGCTTCTAGCCGTCTTGTTCTCTTCAAAATAATGTCCAACCCCCTCAATAATGAGTTTAGGGAATATATATAGGTTAGGGTCGAAGTGTCCAAGTCCAAAACCAACAAAAATAAAAGTTCGGATAGAAGCCGTCGTCGCCCCACGCCGATACTTTGTCGCCCCAGGCTCCGCCTCGTGTCATGTAAGGTGTTGACTTTGGTGCCTTTGACCTCACAAGGCACCGTGTAAGGCGCCAAAATTTGGTCGCTAAGGGGCGTGGTGTTTTTGCGGCCTTTCATCATTATTCTACTCGTGCTCTACTTCGTTATTTTTTATACCTCTTTGTCCAACTTTCTTTCCACTTCATTCCCAAATAATCCTACATAAACAATCAACTCAATTAAGCGTAAACAAATCATGAATTATTAATATTACAAATAAAATGTAGAGTAAATGATGACATAAAGTACAATATTTTAGCTTCAAATCAACACCCCACACTTAAATGTTGTTTGCCCTTGATTAAACTAAAATCAAAACACCTAACAACATTGCACCTTCTAGCGAACTATACCCACGACCATGGTTGATAGTAACAATTGAGCTCTAGCATACACATTCAACATATACTTCCGATAACTTACGCCAAATTTCAAAATATTCAAAATATAAACAACATACTCATAACAATCCTAACCTCAAAAATTAACTCAACGTAACAATGCACTCAAGGCTTGAACACTCAACCTAAAAGAGAAGTCTAATAACGTTAACTATCCATCGTGAAACCCTGTGCTCTCACAACAAATCAAGAGGTAAGCAGGCCACGCATCCAAATCAAATGATCGAATATATTTAGGGACTCACACATATTATAGAAATCACTCACTCTCACAAGAAGCCACATGCATGCAATCCTCTACTAATGTTGGTCCGCTTAGAATAAAATCGATTGAGACTTTATCAAGGTTATAATGTGGGCTAAGAGACGGGTAGGATAAATGTGAATAACAGTAGTTAACCCTCATAAGCACTTTAACAAATCACATAGTCAACTATAAGCGCAAATTTCTTCAACCCACTTCAAATATCACAAGCAAGATCACTCCAAAAATATTTGTTTTTCTTTAAGCACTACTATAACTCACAGTCACTAGCAAGGACAAGATATGTTTATTTCTTTTGCTACATATTTTTTTTCTTTTTTTTTCCTAATATATTTTTCTAATTTTTTTCTTATACTTTGCTTTCTCCACATGGTGTTTTATTCCTTCCATTGATTCCACTCAAAAGTTATCCCAAGTTCCTTTATTATTTCTTTGTAGCACTCTCTTTTATCATTCAAGTGCTTTAAGAGGTAAATGATCAAAATAATTCAATTAAGAACAAAAGTGTATATGCTTATAATACTGGTGCCAAAGTAAAGGCTTATAGACTCAAAAACTATTATATAGGGATGATTTTATTCGTAGATAACAACAATGCTTAACAAAAGGTCAAAGAAGGCCTAGAAATATTTTTCAAACTGAGAAATGCTTAAGATTTTGCTTCAACTTATAAGCGGGCAAGTTATAGACGCAATTGTAAAACATGAACTATATAAGAACAAACTTCAGACAATGACACATGACTCACTAAGCACGATCTCATTTCGACTCTCAAATCAAAGAAAGTATTCACAGACCCAAGAGATATTAGGCATAAAGCACAAAGTGAACATAAGTTAAATAAATGAGCCATAAGCATCACAAGACATGCTATCCAATTTTATCAAGGCATCATCAAATATTTAAAACTAATGGAAAATGACACATATGCCAAAACCTAAGTATGCTACTATCAAAAAAGTTAAAAGGTGTGAATTACGTCATTATTTCCCCTGTTATATCCTAAGTTCTACTCTACTCTAAAAAGTGAAAAACATTATCCGATTTAAGTTACATCCCATGGAAAAGAATCGAGGTACAAAGAAAAATTATGGGAGATAATTACTACCTAAAGAAAACAAAAAGACATATTTTTATATTTTTTTAATTATTTATATTTTTATTTAGACCTTAATCCCTAAGGAAAACTGTCTAGGAGATCCATTGTCTGGAGAAGCCCGATGTTTTTTTTAGTTTTGATTTTTTAATTTTCAACACACATAAAATAGCACAAAAACTAGCACAAGAAATTACACGGACGATCTCCTAGTCCACACTTAAAATTGTGCATTTTTATAAATAATAAGAGGGTAAAAGAGACTCCTTGAGTAGACCAAACGCGGAAATATTAGCAGCTCATCGGGTACAAAGACTTTTCTAGGCATGGTCATTTGTGCGGGCACCCTACACTTAGTTCCAACCATCTCGCTTGATCTTGCATCTTTTCAATAGCTTTACTTTCCATGCTCATACTCGTACAAAATAAAAAATAATACTACACAAATAATACAAAAAAGTAAACAAATAGAAAAAATTGAGTTGCCTTCCAACAAGTGCTTGATCTATCGTCGCGGCATGACTTGACCTATTTTTTGCCTCCACTTTAAACTTATGAATTGGACCTCAAGTTTTGATTCAAGCTTACGGAAATGGACCTGGGGCGGTGACACAAAACCTTGCAAGCCCAAGATAAAATATCGCATTTCGCACTTCTTAACCTTCAAACGAGGATTGTTATTTTGCCTAGACAGTATTGCAAATTTTAGAATGTATGACTCGTCTACCTCTTCCCCTGACTCTCTTTTATACTCGTAAGGATCCACTCTTATTTTATCGTTTGCACATGATATAGATAAGTATTTGGAATGAGGTCCGACACGCTCAAATATATGAATTTCAAGCTTATCAACATCCTCAACACCAATGATACTAGAGTCAACTAAATTTGTATCCTCAATGTCCTCGGCGGACTCTAGTATCACTTCCTCAATATTGACATCCTCATATTCTGGTTGGTTAGATTGTTGTTGTTCTACTTTGAATTCTTGCATTAGCACCCCAATTTCTGTCTCTATTTCATGCTCTTCTTGGCTATTGCCCGCAATATTAGCTTGTTTAGAATTTAAAGTTTCAATCAGTTGACTCACTTGAGCCTCCAAGTTATGAATATTTACCTCTTGCCTTTCTATTTGCAGTTTTTTCTCATCATCTCTCTTAACGAGGCATTTTAACATATCCTTAATCTCCTTCATGTCAACATCCCCTAGTTCTTAGTTCCTATAAACTTTACAAGAAAAAATAGAACCATCATAATAAGGGGTTGGGGGAGGATAAGGAAGATCAAAAGTAGAATTACCAACACTAAAACTTCCCATAATTCCAAGATATCATATTTTTCAAATAAAAAATAAAAATAAAAACAAAACAAAATAGAAATTTAAACTTGAAACCTAGCAAACTACACCGTTAGTTCCCGTGCAACGACGGTAAAATTTAATTATGCCTACCTATGCCTTATAAAAAGAACTAAGGGGTGGCTGCAAATATTATTCGGTCTAAAAGTTCGGAGTCGAATCACACAGAGAACTAAGGTTTAGCTATAACTGTTCCCTATTACTAAGAATACAAGTTCAAATAGTTTTTGAGTTATAAAGATTAAATTTTTTATTCCTAA